CCAAGACTCATCCTCTGATACCAAATATAACACACATGCTTTTTACCATTTATCCTATGGTGATTTACCATAGGATAACCACGAAGGGGAACTTAAACTCTCCATATGCCACATATCATATGCCACATATCACATGCCACATGTTCAAAAGACAGTGGTATGGAATCCGAGTTTTAGGGCCTTGTGCCACTGAATGAAGGAATGGTGCTAAACTCCCAAGTATGGAGCCAAGGAGCAATGGCACTAGAGCACGGAACAACTCTCGAACATATAGCCCAAGGAGTGAAAGGACAGGAGTACAAAGCAACTTGGATCAATCCTAGAGCAACCAACATCCTAATGCCAAAACCAGCACGCAAAACAGAGCCAAACAGAGTCTGGTGCTATTTCAACATACTGATGGTCTAACGTAAGGATATGAGCACTCCACTAGCTAGCATGGAGTGGAACTTGGGTTTAGACCCAAGCTAAATGCAAAACAAAGATAGGCACGCAAGTAGGAGCTAGACTATGCCTCAAATTAGTCAGCCATGCCTAATTTACCCTTTATCCCTACTATAGATTTGGAACTTTGCATAACCCTCGCCCCCCCGAGAAACACACACTTTGGGCTTTCACCCCAAGCCTCCCTTAGTACCAGGAGTTAGTCTTTGGGACAAACTTGAAACTTACTAAATATGGAATGTCTCTAAATTATGAATTTGGATATGAGATGAATACCATTATGTTCAAAACAATTTTTACATTCTATAGATATGCCAAATAAGCAAATCTAGACACTTTCCATAAATAGCATTTAGGACCAGAATGATACTAACACAAAGGGCATGATAGCGAGGGTGTTTGGCAAGCACGGTAAGCTATTATGTAGCAATATAACTAGTCTCAATACGCGAGGGTTCTTGTCACTAGCCAGTGCAAGACACAACGAGACAGGAACTCCTTACTAGGCTAAGTATGTTTAGCTAATAGCATGTAAGAATTCCGTCCTTATGCTCATCCGGTCTAAGTACACTCAAAATGCCTAGTTAACTCCACTAGCACAAAAGGGATTAATAAAGGGTCCAGCAATACTGACTTCTTACTATTGTGGCAATAAAAAAAGAGTGTTTATAAGGACTGGCTGACAAGTAACTTTCGATACTCGAAGTCACATTTGCGACACTTCCCTAACAACTTCTAACAAATGGAACAATGACCATAAAAAACTCAAAAAACCAAAGCTCGAAGAAGTTTATAGCCAAGTTGTGCATAACAATGATCACGAATCTTACATGAATTAATTTCAATGCTAAAGAAGAAATCATAGGACAATCCATAATATCCTCCTTAACACATCCATAAGTTAAACTTTATAATGCCAAAACTAATGAAGAGCATATCTGTATCAATCCAAAAGTTAAGCATAACGAAACTATACTTAACAAGTGATCATTAAACAATCTTCCATGAATCCATCTATAGCAAGATGTAACTCACTTCATAATAAGCACAAAAGAAATTATCAATGATTGATATATCCCCAACTCAAATTCAAAAAAGGATTTAAACATTTCAATATCGATCACTAACTCTTCCTTTTGTAATGTTAGTATAGTCCATGACTAATCACTTTCAAGGAAAAGCCAAAGCTCAACCCCTACTAAGCAATCTCATCTAAAACACAACTAACTCAACTTGCCATTTAGTTCATTTGAACATCAATACAATTGCTAACTAGTAAATGCATGGATACCAATAACACAAAGCTACAACCTAAGTATCAACATTATTTGCATCGAAACTAATGAAATTTAATATCAATCTTATGGAGAGATATTTCACTTCACTCAAATCTTAACATCAACAATGTCAACGATAAGGCACCACTTCAATGCCATCAACACCAAAACAAAGCTAGAAGAAAGCAAAAGTGAATAGCCACTCAAAGCTTTCTAGCAATCAAACTAACTAAAGTCAAAGATACTATACTTAGTATTTGAGACTAGTTCTTCAACAATACTTAGCTACAGATAACGCATCATCAAGAAGTGAATCACCACATCCAAGACTTAATGAAATCAAATACCACAGACTAAACATAACCAAATGATATCGACAGAGGTAGAGTCAACATACCAATATGGAAAAACCATATAAGTCTAACGACACAATCCTCCGCAACACCATCCAGTAAGCAAGTTTATCATTGCTAGATTATCATCTAACAAAGCAAGTATTAATAATCCTTTGATAAAGTCTACAAGTAATCACTAGTCACAAAGCAACTAATAATCACTCGTCAATTTACCTTTTATAAGACCCAAACATTAAACTTATGTCATCGAGTTATATACTTGCCCAACATAAATGTAATACCCCAGGTACGAGATAAAACTTCATGGACAGACATAAACTAAATGACTACTCGAATCCAACTCAACTGCAATAAGCTCACCAATACGTTTAATCAATAGCTCTGAGCATGCCTTGAAGAGGCTAGTTATGCATAATCAACACTCAGTCGAAACTAAAGTGAAGACCATGAGATGGACTCATATTGGTACACAACCTTCTCATAGACAAAGCTATAGTATGGGTACTAACATTTTAACCTTAAACAACTAAGTTGGACATCATCATCCTCAGCCAAGTGCAAGGCTACCAAAACTAAGTTAAGATCAGTGAGAGCTCACTACTCTCATAGGGTCACCTTTCTTAAAAAAAAATGCAACGGCCACTTTTCTACACCAACTCCAGACTTTATCCCACTCAATTGCTTTAGCCCCAAAAGTTAGCATTCTTTTCAAGTCGCATATAAACTACGTATTAAAATTTAAGCCAATCGAAGTCAATTCCAACCCTTTCACTAGTTTATACTAGTTTACAAAAATGGAAAGGTTTTTGAGCAAAGTGATCAACAAATCAACCATTGGAAAAGCCTAAAAAAATTTATGGAAAATTTTCCATCCTAGAGAAAGAATTACCCTCAATCCAGGAATGCAAACTTTCAAGACTCAACCAACTTCCTCCTACTAACAACTTCACATAGTTTCACCTTAATACAAATTCTCAAGACCCATAGTATACTTAAGTTTCAAACATCATACCCATATTTTTTATATCCAAGACTAACATCCGCAAAAATGCAAAATGAACATCCAAGGCTTAATCACAAAGACCATATTTTCGGATACCCACATTGCATTAACACTCTTTTTTAACCACCTTCAAAATCCAATGTAAAGCCAAAACACTAACAAACAAAAGGACATAGAAAATCAAGATTTAAGGAAAATTCCTCATCACTCAAAATAACAATGCCATTTCCACTAACACAAGTGCTAGCAATGTCAATGCCTCAATTACATACATTTTCCATCCGACAATCTACTCCAAGTGTAACAGATTCACCAACAAGTCATAGCAAGTTAATGCTACAACCCTTTCCAACACCTCAATGAGTAAACCCTTTAAGAACCAAGGTACTAACTTAAGTTTAGCATAATAGACCACTATTAAGAATCCAGTCAAGGCTACTTCATTGTTACTATATATAAGTAGATTAGCTTCACCATCAACCACTTTGGGGTTGATCATCATCTAACCAAGCAACTTCGTAAACACATTACTTATTATCACATGAATATGATATAAAAATCACAATGACTTGATCATCAATCAAGAAACACCACGAATAATGCTAATGTCATTACTTTAAAGGTTTAATGTGAGTATCAAGTGTCAACTCAATTTCACAAAATGCAACATAAATACCACACTCCACCGATAGAGACTTACAACACCCAACACCATTAATTTTTGTTCATAACACGGACAAGTTTATGTTGCTCTCTATCTTACCAAACTCAAAACTAATCCAACACCAAGCTATTCAAGGAGTAATACCAAGGTTCTTTGAAAAAGAATTGACCATTGCAACTTAAATCTTCAATAGTAAGCTTAGACAAAATGGTTTAACGCTTCACCACTATTCATCCCTTGACTCACCACTTGTAAGACTATTATAACCAATATGCATCAAAATAGGGACTCATGATTGCATAATGTAAATATAAGCAATGAGTTAACACCTTATTGCAAATCATCTCTCCAAAAAGAAAAAATTATTTACGTGTTTGATCTTTCGTCCTTAATGGTTTTCTTTTCGGTCTCATCTTTAACTAAACCTTGAGTTTGCATTTGCATTGTTTTAGTCCAACCAAAGAAATTTTTTTGAGAGAGCACAGCAATAACTATTTGAACCAATTTATATTACTAGTTTTTTATTATCTATTTTCTGTATATATTTTTGTAGTTGTTTTTGAATATTTATATATTTGTTCCAGGTTTTCTATGTAAATTTTTTTTCTGTTTTTTAAATTTTTTTCTAGTGATGTATATGACATTACCATTGTTTCTATTTTTAAATGTTCTACTTTTTCTGATTTATAGTCATTTGTATGCAATATTACTAATGAAGAAAGAAGGATATATACAAATAATAAAAGACAATACACATAATAAGAAACTAATAGATCATATATGGGTAAAAGATATAATATATACAGAAGCAGGAATAGCACCTGCATACTGGACAGATCATAATAAATTATATATCATAATAAAAATTATTTAAAAACAAAATAAAACCAAGTGTTGCTGCAACTCAACATGCAGCAATTTTATTTTCATTTGTAAAGGAACTCAAGTTACAAAGATAGTATATAAGTTATATATATGGATCTAAAGGGCTTTTAAAGATATTTTAAGTTAGTCAAACCCTAGATACAAATCAATTACAATTCACAATTCACGGTAAAGCCTCACAACTATGGCCATAGCCTTCGCAAGGGTTATTATGGCCATGATTGCTTTGCATCTTTGCAAGCCTTGTGTCATGACAGTTACAAGCTCCATCATTTTCTCCTTCATTGACATTTTGTTTTTCTCAGGGTGAGCTCCAGGATGCATTTTGCTTTCTATTTCAAATTTATGTGTACATCGTGGTGTTAGGGATCTTGGTGAGAAGGAGAGCTTCATGGTTGAGTGTTGTTTCTCATGTGATTTGCATAGCCAAAAGCTAAATTGATTTTCTAAAATAAAATAAAAGTTTTTAATAATCCTATATCTATGCAAAACCATTGCAACATAACCCGAATCATAGGACTACTACATGCTTAGTATTCTAAACGACCTGGCCACGATCTTGCTTTTCTCAGGCAACTTTTGGGCGTTTCTGTTGCAAATCGTCCGCAAACTTCTCTGTGGCATCTATTGGGCGCTTCTGTCGCGGATCACCTGTAAACTTGAAATGTCACATCATGATATCATGGGAATAGCGTATCACGAATGTGTCTTACCAAGCTCCTTAATGTCAGAGACGTTTGGAATTGGAAGCTTATACGTGTCAGGAAGCAGCAGATGGAGCCATGATTTCGCTTCCTCTGATTGCTTTCCAGCCTCCACCTCCGTATCCGGCACCGCAATTGAAAGTTCAGCTAGAAGTCTCTTCGTCTCAGCACCAAGGAAACGAAAGTTGCGTTCGAGACCATAAACTGTTATGTGCGCAACAGGCTCCGTTTTCTTGCCATAAGCTTCGTCACGCTGCAAGTAAGACTTATGCATCTCATCCTTCTTCCATAACTTTGGTGGCACTGGCTCTTTAAGGTTTGGTTCTTGGACATTGATGAGGACCGTCACCACTTTGATTTCGATTCCTGAGACTTGCATGAGCCTCGGCCTCAACACAGTCGTAGAAGCTTTGTTGAGCCACCCACACTTTCTACTGTTCTCAACCGAAACGAGCAGCGCAGTCATCCCCAAGGAAGTCCAGACCGGAATAACAATGTCATAACCTCGGACTTTATTGTTGGCTTTGTACATGATTGCACAGCCTCTCATGAACGCAGCTGCCAGGATCTCGGGTGTCAACTGCCCCTGCTTAACCAGCATAAAACTGTTAAAAAAGACGGCAGCGGATTCATCCAGGCCGCTGCATGCCTCGTCAACCTGTGCCTCCTCCCAGCCCAGCAATCGTCCGATATAATCCCGGAGAGGAATGCGGCGTAGGTAGTAGTCACCCTTGTACAAGCTCCAACAAGCTTGCAGCAAGATGAGCTTCACTATGAATTCCCCCCGAGGTCCAGCATCCACATAGCCATTGTAGCAGCCGTTCAGGAACAGCCCTAGAGCAACTTCTAGAGGCTCCCCACTCTTGCGGTTGAGAATCCTAGCGGCCGCTTCACTCACAACGGGCTCCACGGGCTGACTGATATGCACTCTCGTACGATCGAGGGAGATGAACGTAAGGATACTCATGTGAGAAGCGACAAGAAGCTGGCTTTGGGCACTCCGCGGGCATATCTCCAGGCCTGCTGATGCTGAAAGCAAGGCCAACGCCTGGCTCTCAGCCATCTGTACCTTTCCGGTAGAACCACAAACGTCCACAGCTTGCCCCTGAAATTCCCCGTCCAGCACCCCAACCAGCTTGGCTTCCGCAAGATCGAGGAGGCTCCACACGTTTGGATTGCTGTCAAGGCGGCTACTCCATAGGGGCCTTCCATACCTCAACAACTGCGCTGGAGACAAATCCGTAGTCCGAGGAACAAGGTCCATATTCACCACCTGATAAATAGGCCTTAAAAGCCGCAAACCCAGGATATTAGCTTTCCTCGACTGGTCCTCGTGCCGTCGAGGCTGCAGATTACTGATACTCCACATCGTATCCATGACAACTGCAAAGTATTTCTTGTGTGTGAAGAAAGCTCTCGCCACTCGCCTCATCTGGTAAAACGGCGATTGTGCCATACCGAAGGTGCTTTCCCCATTCGGTAAGAGACCGCGACCTTCATCAAAAACAAAAAGCACCTGCACCTCCCCCTCTTCCGGCAGTACATCCTTCAAGTTGTCAAACTCTTGTTGGAGTAGTTTCTCGTTCCTGTCATCCGGTGACTCACTAATTTTCTCTACAGCTGTGCTGTTGATCAATTCAAGCCATTTCTTGTGCACGGCCTTCGCAATCCTGGACGAATCCATCTGTGAATCCATCCACTGCACTGAGCTCATCTTCGCACCCTTCGCCATCTCATGGAGGACAAAAAGCCACGCTTTGAAGTATAGCGCCATCTCCAACTCGCTGTTCGTTCGGCTGAGCTGGTTGGCAAGCTCCCCAGTTCGAGGAGGACAGGCGGTACTGTTTGCTGCCGCCGTGCTGCAATAGCAAATATACACTCCCAGGCGCGACATCTGCATCACCCCGCGTGTTTTCCCCGTGCCAGAACCCTGTACTATGGAGGTATAGCAGCTGTAGTGCTCGTCTACACAATAGCCAGTGCTATAAGCCACAATAACAGAAGAATTCAAGACTTACTCTTTGAGCATTCCTTCCTCAACTTACACAGCTCCTTGTACAATATCTTATGAGCCCCCCCAATGTAATCCCTCCGTAACGATTTCATCGCCACTTCCATATTACTCTCGTGCCACAAACGATCACGATCAGGCCCAGTGTTCTCTGCACAGGCACAAGCAAAAGAATACTCGAGCAGCAGACAAAAACACAGAACTTTCACCTATCGGCTTCTCCATGAGGAGCCTTTCACATTGACTCAGCCACTCGTACGAAACATACTCCAACCTCTCCTTTATCCACTGTAGCAGCTTGGGGTCTCGTGTTTCTTTCTTTGCCACTAGGTGGCTTATCGTGCTGGCGCGAGCCGTTACTGCACAGGAAATGCAAAAAGAACAGTAGCCTAAAGAAACAGCGAAAGAACTTACAGTTGAACAGCTTATATATCCGGCATGCGAGATGAGGATTTCCTGGAAACAAGGGCAAAACCTCATCTACATCGGCCGTCCACAACCTGGAGGCCGAATAGCCTTGCCGCTGAAGGGGCTCATAGTCAGGCCCGCAAAGATCCCGCAAGCGCTCCTCGCCGTCATCGCAGACGCTCTCCATTAAACCCTAGAACTTACCCTCACACACCTTTTTCCCACCACCCAATCTTATGGGGTCTGTCAAAATATAGTAATTTCAATTTACTCGTTTCATCATTAAAATTTTCGTCACATCTAGTATCAGCTTTCCTCTGAGTCCACATGGCCCTGCACAACATGAAACGCGATGTAAAGTTGAAGCCCAACCAAAAGAGTAAGAAGAAAGAAAGAGGAGTTACATTTTGGTAAAAGGTCACAATATGTACTGCTCGAAGTAGACTATTGTTGCTGTGCTGTTTCAGCATTTTGCATTGCTCGCAGCCTCCGGCACTGGCATAAGTTGTGAATTGTACCACTTCTGCAATTGCCAAAGCAGTGAAGTATATACTTCTAAGTGGCTTTCTACATCTTGTGTTTTGCTTGGCATCTGGATCTCGAGTAATGGGAATCACTGCAAGCGCCATTTAAGGATTCTGAAGCTTCTAATGTAGCAAGTATGTACAATAACAAAAACATCAGGTCAACATGCGGCAATGGCAGAAGAATGTTTTCTGATTTTGCATGACATTTCTTCATCCTTGGATTTTTTCCCCTATTAGTTTGCTGTTCTTCTTGTAATAGGACAAGCATTGTGAGGATTAGCAAAGCAAAACTTTCAATACTAGTAGCATTTAAATTCTTGCTGCTTCCTGGACTGTAGTAAAGATTGATTCTTATCTATCCAACAATTTATTCTAAGTGCTAATGGATGCACTAAAAAGTTATAGTGAATGAATGTTACAACTTTTTCAAAACTTTAATGAGCAAACTCTCAAAGAACTAAGGTACCATCACTAATTTAACATAATGGATCACCTTCAAGAACCCAGACAACAAATAAGCTCCCTCCATTCCAATTGGTGTATAGTTTGAAAGCAATTCTCCCCATGCAACTTTGTTTACCTTCCTACCATATCTCCTTTTAGGAAGCAGATCCTGGGACATCACAGGATCTTCACACCAATTGCACAGATCAGCTGGATGGGGATCTAGATATTGCAGCCGTTTGTATTCAGATTCATTAATGTCACACTGCTTTGATGCATGCGAAGCAATGAGGTGAAAACTTCCTCCCATGTGATGTTGTTTGGCACCTTAATGCTTTGCACCATAGAGTGAAGTTTCAACCTCCCTGTATCAAGTCTTTGGGAGCACAGGGACAAACTCCTACTTGCTTGCATGTCTCCCCAATGGAAAGGTAGTAGTTGGCTCCACTCTGAGGTCACTGGATTTCACCAATGGAGCCCATGCAAGGGTTGGATCGCCCTGAGGATGTGTTTCAGCTGGGGGTAGGCTGCATACCAAGCCCCGAGTTTTCATTGCCTCCATCGGTTATTGAAGTTGTTGCATCTGCAGGTAATGGTGGGTTGGCCATGATGGACTCAAGGCGAAAAAGTGGTGGGTTTCGCAGACAGACCTAGTCAAAACCCACAAGGTTTCCTTCTCACCACTGTTTTGACACCAGCGGAGGCGAAATGTTGGATTGCTGATGATGGACTTCCATGACTTCTGAACAACAGAGCACCCACAAAGTGTGGCCAAGTCCACAAAACTGAGAACTGTCTCCAGAATGTCATCTTCATCACCAAGACCTGCCTGCATTGTCAAAAGAGGGCCTAAAGGAGTCGACAATGGAGAAAGATTGAACCCTTGCGTAAAGAACGGAGCAATAATTTTTCTCTTTCTCGCGTTAGCATTCATTTGGTGTGGGCGGCAGTCGTAAGGCACTGCGGCCAGGTTGATCGGGGTGCGTGTCCAACGGTCGAGGAGCTCTGCCCGTAAGCAGCTTGTTTGAGTGTGGAGGTTGTACATTTGAGGTGGGAGCTGACTCGCGCTCCACCGTGAGAAATGCGCTACTAATATATAGCGAGAGCTGGAAGACGCAGAGAGATTCCTTCACAACGGCTTAGAACTCGGTGTTTGCCTGGTATGGAGGGGTCACAGCCAACAACAAGACGCTTGGAACCGCAAGAAGCTCCTGTTTTAGCAGACCGGTCTTGCACTAGACCAAATACCCACTAACTTCATGGGAAAAATCTCCACTTTTGCCGTGGTTTTTCACTCATGGTACCTTCACAATGCTGCATCATCAACATGAAAGCAAAGAAATGCTCTTCCAAATCGGCATCAATGCTCATGGCAATACAACTATGTGAGGAAGATTTGACAACCCTCCACGTTGAAATAATTAACATCAATCACAGTTCTCCCAAAATCGCCTGAAACAAAAATAAAGAGACACAGTGCTATCAGCTAGGAACGCAAACACACTTACTCTTGTAGATGGTTCTGACCACATCAACCCATTCCGAAACGAGCTCCTTAAACACAACGCCACCAGGGTTGGCATCCAAGATGAAGAGCGCACCTGCAACGAGTTCAAGCAAATTTTGATCAATGTTAGTATATTTGCAGTCCAAGAGTTACCTGGTGCGAGCCATTTAGTCGAGCATTTGTGGCTGGTACACGATGGCATTGGTACGAGTCAGATAATGTTTCTTAAGTTCATGCTGCTGTGTAAGGAACGAATGATCCTGTCAAATGCTGTAAGGCGCTGCATTGAGGCATTCGCTTACCCGTTTGGCAATAGCCGAGGTTCAAGGCAAAGCTGTTCTTGTCATACTCGGGGTACTCTCGACAATGAAACCTGCAAAGTTACAAACATTCAGTCATGGTGACTAGCGTTTGAGCAGGCAAGCTTACAGAATACCGAGCCTTCCAGTGCCGTAAGCGGTAAACATGTGGCCATGGAAAAGATCGTAGCGGTTTACAGAAACGTTAAAACCTGCCAAGGGAGCTAGAGCAACAATTGCTTCAAATAAGAATGCCATGTACGAGTTGATTTCCTGCAAGCCACACATAGTTAAGAGCGCGCTGTATCTTCAACGAACCTGATCAACAAAACGCTTGGCACAATCGTGCTTGGTAAGCAGGCACTTGCTAGCGTTCGAATTCTCAACATTGGGGACCTGGCAAAAATTTCAGCTGAAGTTTCGAAGGGAAAATACCAACTTCTACCTTGTGAAGTGCCAAATCCAGCTCCGCTAGTATAGCGTCAGGCTCCCCAGCCCATTCCACGGATTTCCTGGCTAAGTTCGCAACAGAAGCCGGAGGTTCCCTTATCAACCTCCACATTGGAATCTGGCTTTTCTACTCGAGAAACTCCCATGGACTGGTATGACGAGCTTCTCAGTGTTGGTGGAACTAGAAAGCGAATGGACAACAGAAGCTCCTGAGCTTGAGATTCTGTCACCTCACTTCCACCCAGTAATGCTAACATCTCCTGCGCAGCGTCGGAGCAATAGTATCTTCGTCGTCGTTTGAAGGACCCGGTGGAGGCAAGGCAGCCCAAGTAGCGCATTGACATTTGGAGCATCCAGAATTCGGTAGCTAGAGCTTGTTCTTGGCCTTCCATAGCTGGCTATGGCAAACTGCTGGTGACCAAGCATAGTGTGGCGAGAGCAAGGCAACTACCACCACGTACAGCATATGAATACCTCTCATCCTTTTGAGCATTCTCCTTCTCCTCTAGCCTGCGTGCCAAGAAGTTTTTCAAAAAACAAAAGTAATGTTTGCTGCTTTTTACTTGTTTATAACTTTGAGCTTGTTGCACTATAAAATAAAGGTCTAATACATATTTAAAATCCTCTACAATCCTTAGCTCCTTATATACAATTTATATGTAAAACAATATTACATGGAATTTAACAAAATTTCAGCATACCGATACCTCATTAACTAGAACAATATAGAGCTTGAGCTTAAACCCAAACTTAGACACTAAACAAAGAGCTATATAGCCCAATAAGAGTTAACTTAATATCTTATGTGGTTGACTATGATTCCAACCACTACCTCTACAATACATTTAAAACCAGAATAAAGGATAGTCAAGATCCTTTAAATTGTCAAAGAACACTCAAAAAGCTAATTCACTATAAATATGAGTGTTATATCTATCAACCATAAACACATCATAGATTACCAAGCTCTTTTTCATAGATAAACCAAGTTTTTTTTTACCACATTAGTTCTCAAAAAGTTGTATGTAATATTTGGATTAAAAACAATCCTAACATCATTACATTGAATGTTCTTTTTGGCCTTCACAAATTAATTGCACATAGAATTATTAAGTTCTATAAAGTTGCTATCTAAACTCTTCATAAAAAGAAAAGTCATTTAACCAAGTACTATTCAAACCCAAGGAGATATAATCGAAAGTATCCCAAGACTCGTAATTGATTAGAAAAGTTGTACACTTTTATTCATGAGCCCTTTCCTATATTTGAACTTTATAAATTATTTTTTGACTTAGTTATTTATAATTTATCACACTTCTTTGCAAGTTCACCCTTTTGTAAGTGAAAGCTGAAAGCCACAACTCCTAAAAGCCTCAACACCCTACCTCTTAAATTAATGGGACTAATATAAAAATTGGGTGTGTTACCCTCTTATCAAGTTACTTTACTTGATACTTTTATGTCTCATTTGGACCTAGTTTTGAAGTAGAAGTGATCATGATCATTGCCTTCGAATCATGTTGATATCCAAATCTCCCCCCTGGGGGGTGAGTGGCTTTCATTGTTGACCACTTTATTCCTCCACTCCTTTAGTTGATTAGATTTCACCTATTCTTTTAGAATGGCATCCTACTTTTTAGGTAGAGCCTAGTTAGACTAAATTGGATTACCAAATGTCAATCTTAATAAATGTTGTGATATTAATAGAGTTAAACTCTAATACCAAATGTAAACTCTTAAATTTAAATTTTTCAGCAAGACACTTAACCACCAAGTAATCCAAAACCCTTAACCAATTGGAAAAACAGGTGCACCTTTATAAATAGTCTTTTGAGTCTTTCTCTTTAATTACTTATATAGATATAACTAGTAGAGAGTTAAATAATGCCTTAAATTTGTTAGCCATGCCTAACTTACACACTATCCCTTCTATACTATTGGAATTAAGTTGAACATGCACACAACTTTTTTCCTCCACATTCTCTTCTCGTCACAATTTGGGCCAATCTGACTGACTCTTTTGTCTTTCTTTCTGGATAGCTTGCATATAGCGAATTCATGCACAGGCTCAATTGCCAGGAAGTGGAGCTCAATCGCAAGCTACTGGCAAACATGGCGATCTTGGATCCAGATTCTTTCAAGAGCCTGGCAGACTCGGTCTCCTCTCTTCCTCCGCTTAAGGTAAGTCTACTTATCCCTTTCTTTCTTGTCTTTTGACGATCCATCTTGTTGCTCGCAGTCCTCAATGATATGAACTATATTCTTTTGCCTCGTAATGATCTCTATCTTAATCCATCAGACGTTGTCCTGACACTTACTTCTGGAGGGTGCAATGCTCTGGATTTAGTCCTTCAAGTAAGTAGTTTCTCTTCCCTCTGAAGTTTATAATCTCAACACCACCACATTTTGTCAGGGTGCGAAACAAGTGGTTGCTGTTGATATGAATCCTGCTCAAAGCTACCTTCTTGAACTTAAGCGTCTGGCAACAACGAGGTAAAGTCTCTTGAAAATTCTTTGATTTCCTCACATGTGAACTGTGCAGGCTTTCTTTTGAGGATGCCTGGAAAATGTTTGGAGAGGGCGTCCATCCAACCTTCGAAAGTTTGCTGGAAAGAGAACTCGTTTCCTTTCTTAGCCAGGGGGCTGTGAATTTCTGGTAAGTAGCAAATTTTCTTATATCTCCGTGTGAAGAGCTGTGTTTATTTATTCCAGGAGAAAAAAAGCCAGGTACTTCAAGGATGGATTGTACTACCACGGTAACATGGAACTTACTCTATGATATGATGCCTCTAACCTACAAAGTTATGCAGGTGGTATGGGTTGACTCATTCGAGCAGTGAGGGCGCTTGCAAGGCTTACACGAAAGGTTCTTCCAGCCAAAATTTTGAGCAAGGTTATCTGAATCTGTTGTTTTTCTTCACAGGAGCGCTTCATCGAGTCTCTTGTTATGCCCACGCTACAACAACAAAGAGAGCTCTGGTATAATGCATCCGCATACACCAAAAGTAACTGTCTCACTTTGATTGCCTGAGCAGGTTCGCTTGTGTAGGAAACTGGCTATCACAAGCTGGGATTTTTGCGAAGATGGTATCTTTCTTCGTAACCAACAGATTCACGATGTGGTTTTGTGCTGGAGTGTGCAAAGGCCAGCTTCGTCTGCTACGCAAGGAGGGCAACTTATACAAGTAAGACATCTTTCTCAGCCGTGATTCTCATTGAACCACTTGTCCTTTGTTTTCACAGCTACATTGTCCGCTGTCTAAATTCAACAGCTGCGTATTCACATCTCCGGGACAGCAACTACTTTTACCGCTGCTGCCTGACTGGGAAGTTTTCATCCAACTGCTGTCCTCGTTTCCTGGAAAAGGAAAACTTCCACAAACTCAAGGTACTACACACGAACGACTTGCCATGAATTTCAAGACTTCTGTGCTGTGTTGCAGACAAGGCTTGCTGCGGAACCAGGAGCATGTATATTTGATTTGGAGTTCGTTTCTGTACATCATAAAGCATCTCTAGCACCGGCATAATCTGTTGTGTATACTGTGCATTAGAACGAAGAAAAGACGCCACAAAGCCAAGGCGTACGTGTGGAGGAGCTTTCGAAGCGAATGCACACCAAGGTACGTACCTGGAACTTCTTGTTTGGTGAAATGCTGTGTATTGCTTGGTGCTCGGGTGATTTTGATGGACCACTGGCTAGAACAAAGCGACGTCGATGTCCTCTGCAAAGCGCTGCAAGCACATGTAATTGTAAGTAGTTGCGAATTTCCACACTCTCGATCCCCTCACACTCGTGATTTCTACTTGGTTTTTAGCCTGGAGGCCGCGTGATCTGGCGCAGTGCGTCGCGATCTCCAAGCTACGCCAATTGCATCGAGAAATCTGGATTCAAAGGTTCGAAGTTCTTTCCTTTTTGGAACTGTTTTTGGAAGCTAAGAACCAACTGTTTCTGCGCAGTGATCCAAGTAGCAACGAGCAAGGCTTCCATGGACAGGGTAAACATGTACGCGAGCTTCTTCGTGGCTGTTCGCGTGGGTGGATTGGCATCCATCAAAATTCCAATCCATCCATCATCGAGGCTCCACGAAGCTGGGTCCTAAAGAACCCGAGTCGCCGGACTCGGTGCTACCAGCGCCATTGTGGATCGAGATTTGATCGATCATTCCTTCCTCTTCTCCATCGATTCTTTATATATAATTGGAACATAACCAGTGTTAATATTTGGCCCAAACCATATAAATTGACTATCCATGATGGGATCTGCACAGCAAACTCCCGAAGCAGAGGTTATGTAGAATTTGCTGCATCGCATTAAACATGCTGTTTGAGCATATAAAAAACAAATGGTGGTGATACTCCTTTCATGGCAAAAAACCACAGGACTAGGACTGCTTTCCACGATCAATTCTTGTGGTGGTCTGTTTTGCCACCTTTGCAGGACTAATTCAGGTGGAAGCTGATTGGACTAAAATAATATGGACCCCCTACCAGGTATTTTGCCATGAAAGCCAGGAGTGCTGAGCAGCACTAGACCTGGCAGCAACAACAAGAATAAGAAGTATAGAATTAAAAGTATAGAAGAATAAGTAAGAATATTGGCTGAATTAGCCTTCTCAACATCAATCTTTAATCAATCTTTAAGACTTAGATGATGGATTAATCCACAATATCACTAGAATGTAAATATGTTTTAAACTTGCTTCCATGGAAGGTTAGATAAATTTTTGAACTAACTGACAAGTCCAAAATGCAAACAAAATCCCCAACACTGTGAAATTGTCCAAGGCCTGTAATATTGTGAAGACAATGTAGCACCATCACCTCTTTTCAAAGACCATTTTGCATTTAATAGCTTAAGGAAAACTTTATCATCAACTTTGTACTTGATGATGCTCATTAGCCAATCTCTTACCTTGTTTTTGAGTTTATTTTGTGTTTAACTTTGTCAACTCAAACTTGTTTTGTATATCCTCCAAGAAATCACAAATATAAGGCACCCAAATCAAAGCTAAACTCAAACTCATGAGCTCATAGATGATTAATGAGCATTATTATGAGCAAATTTAAAGTGTGTTTACACTCTGGTAATGTCATGTCATAATGGAGCTATGATTTGGCTTCACCTAATTGCTTTCCAGCCTCCACCTATCCTATGTATCTGGCATTGCAATTGAAAGTGAAACCAGAAGTCTCTTCGTCTCAGCACCAAGGAAACAAAAGTTGGGTTCAAAACCATAAATTGTTATTGTGCGCTGTCTTCTTGCCAAAGCTTCGTCATCCTGCCAGTAAGACTTATGCAGCTCATCCTTTCTTTGTTGGCACTAGCTCTTTGGTTCTTGGACACTGATGAGGACTGTCACCACTTTGATTTGGATTGCTATGACTTGCATGTTAATGTTGGCTTTGTACATGATTACAACGCGGCTGCTCAACTCCCCGTGCTTAACCAGCATTTAAACTGTTAATAGTTACCGCAGCGGATTCATTCAGGCCGCTGCATGCCTCGTCAACCTGTGCCTCCTCCCAGCCCAGCAATCGTCCGATATAATCCCGGAGAGGAATGCGGCGTAGGTAGTAGTCACCCTTGTACAGGCTTGCAGGAGGACGAGCTTCACTATGAATTCCCCCTAGCATCCACATAGGCATTGTAGCAGCCCTTCAGGAACAGCCCTAGAGCAACTTCTAGAGGCTCGGCCGCTTCACTCACAACGGGCTCCACGGGCTGTGCACTCCCGTATGATCAAGGGAGATGAACATTAAGAACACTCGTCTGAGAAGCGACAAGGAGTGGCTTAGAACACTCCGCGGGCATATCTCCAGGCCCGCTGATGCAAGTGATAATACTCTGGATGGGTACGTACCTTGAACATCTTGTTTGGTTTAGTCTTTGAAATGCTGTGTATTGCTTGGTGCTCAGGTGATTTTGATAGACCACGTCGATCTCCTTTGCAAAGCACTCCACGTAAGTAGCTGCGAATTTGTACACTCTCGAGTCTCGAACACCCTCACACTCACATGGGCCATTTTTTAGCAAAACTACTTATGCTAAGACGAATTTTCGAGACGAGAATTGCAGTTGCAGAATTTTCGAGTTAGTTTCGGGCGCGGTGGCAGGGCAGCGGGGCGGCGGTGGCGGTGGCGGTGGCGGCAGAGCGGCGGGCCAGTGTGGTGCTGGGTGGGCGGTGGCAGCACGAGCATCCACATTGATGAAACGTTCTCGCGCAAACGAATGAATGGAAAAATATCTCGAAGCTTACCATTGAGTTGACACTTGACGAGAGTGAAGCCTCTTGAATGGCTTCACCTCCTTTGGACAATGTAAGTGGATCCTGCCCGCCTGCTCGCTTAGCTCCATCCCAGTGACACGGCGGCCCGGTGTGGTCATCAAGCTGAGGAAAAACCATAGTTTTGATAAACAAACAAAACTAGAGTTCCAAATCCCATCGCGGCCAGAGCACTGAAAAAACAAACACCAAGTGTAAAGAGCTTGCATATCTCAAGAGAAAACGTAACAGTGATACTTACAGTGAGCCAGCGTAAGAGAAGGAACTTCCAGGGAGAGAAGTCATGCTAAGTCGTGCATACTCTTGGATTACATAAACCTTGAATAAACGAGTTAAGAATGAACATGCAAGAAACACTATACAAAATTACTTACTGGAAGTGCCGTGACCAGGAGCCTTGAATAATAGCGCAGCTGCTTGACAACCTCCTCTTTATTCTTACCTGGAAGGAGTCTAACAGTACTTGTCAGGGTATTGTCAAAACTCCTTCCAAGGTAAATGCCACACTCGTCCCCTGGAAAACATACACACTTTAGTTTGGATGATCAGAGAATCATAGCATACCTCAATATAATTCTTGTAGTTGCATTTTCTGTCTGGGTTCGTTATAGGAACGTGAGGATTGTGAATGCATAGCTCGTTATCAATCACATGTACTTGTGTCTTCCAACCTGTTTGAACCAGAAGTTTGCTAGTGAGTACATATAGCGCAGAAGCTTACAGGAAGTTCGTGTTCTAACGTCCAATGGCCATCTCTCGGTCAATCATCTAGTGGACCTGCAGCTCACATCCACTATGACACCTCCAAAAGCTGGTTGAAGATACTCCAAAGCCATTTTAAGCTGAAACACATTAGCAGTCCAAATATGAGAAAGTTCATTTGCAAAGGAGGAGGAGCCGGAGGAAGCTGAACTGGAAAGAACAAGATCAAGACATGAACAGGAAAAAGAGACGAAAGGCTCACCTTGCAAAGAACATTTCCCAGTATCTGATCGATCCGGAGGACTTCCTTGAGATCGACACGGCCAGTGGGATCGCTCTCGTGTTCATTCTCATCGTCTACATCAGAGCATAGTCAGGGACAGGGACGAAAGACGAAAAGCAACAAACAACAGACCATCCTTTGGGAGAAGGCAGTGGAGACGTGATGCACAGCTCGGGCCTAGAGATCAAACGGGCGGACCATCAGAAGCAGCAGAAGAAAAGGCCTTGCAACTTACCACTCTGCTGCAAACAACGCTGTAGAGCAGCGTGGTTGATAGATATGGCTGTCGAGGATATAGTAGGCCACTCTCGCACTTTTGCTTGCGGAGGACAAAGAGATTGGGCTCCTGGGCTTCGAGCAGCACGTACTCCACTCCAGTCATCTTCCTGCCACAGCACAAAACGAAGAGAAATCTCTTGCGAAGGAAGAACAAGGAGCTTGATTCTTACAAGAGCTGGGTCATGTCGAGGGGATGGACAGAGCGCATTCGCAGCTGCTCATTGGAGCAAGAGCGATCATAGAAGGGCGAGAGGACGAAGTAATCGAAGACTAGGAACTCTGATAGTCATGGACGATCCAATCACAGAGACTCCCTGCAACGATTCCAGACGCAAACAGGGCATGTACTTGGTGGAGTGACTTTCATTTGCTCGTCTTCTACTCGGCGTTTCTTGAGACTCCCAGCTTCCTGCATTCACATCGTCCCCATGCGTCAGCTCATCCCGTCCAAGAACAGCTCTTGAGCCGCCAAATCACTGCTACATCCCGGCCGTTTCCATCCCGCGCATGCGCGAAATCTTGCTGCCAGCCTACCTCACGGCCGCCGCTGCCGCATTGTTGCCGCCGCGCTTCCGATTCTCGAAGCCGCGTTGTCGACCGCCATAGCTGCTGTGATGCGAGGAGCTCTCTCTCAATCCCTAAAATCCCTCTTGCTAAACAAAACGAAAGGGGAAAGGGGAGATTCGAGTCCCTGACAGCGCTGCGGGATGCCGACATCTTGAAATCCCCACGGCGCATCCTCGATCTCAGTCGCAGCTTCTCCGATCTGGTTTCGCGATTGGGCAAGAAATCTGGGGCGATCAGGTGCGTGGTTGCCGACTACTTCGCAGGATACGTGTACGATGCCGTGGATTTCTTCGATCTTCCGCCTTTCCGGCGTCGGCCACTTCCGCGGCATTCAACCTCCAGCTCCCGGTTCTTCTCGCGAGGAGGAACAAGATCATCCGGCAAGCTGTAGAGGATCCGCTCACGCTGAAATATCGAATGGCTTCTTTGGCAAGAATTCCCCTCACTGGTATGCTCACTCTCAAGATTCTTGCTTTCTTCTTGTTTTTCTTGAGCTTGTACACACTTTGGTTTTTCCCCGGGTTTTTCTCTTCACTCGGCAGTGTGAAGTGTGGACTTGTATGCTTGCGATCTTGCTTTGCTTGTGATGTTACACATTCTTTGCTTGCAATCTATTTTGATCTTCTCTTTTCTAAGAACCTTTTCTTCGCTTGAACTTGTGATTTATTTTGACGATCTTCTCTCTTTTTTTTTTTTATGTCATAGAGGACGAGCTGCCGAAGCTCAACGCTCTCGGAGTGGCTCTCTCTCGCGAGCAACTCCATCACTACATGAGGGACGCAAGTGTGCAGCTTGCCGCCAAGAAGTGCGAGCGTCTTTTTTACGCGCGGCTAGCCTCGTGGATTCTCGTTCCCTCGTTTGAGGAGCTGGAGCCGGCATGCAAGCAAATGCATGCTCTCTACGGCAAGAGGTTCCTGCCGGTGGGACCTTTGCTTGATTGCAACGAAGACCACCACATCCAGGTAAGTCGCGATGTTTCGCAGAGTTTGCATTCGTGATAGCAAGTACTGAGCCAAAACTAATCTCTTTTGCCATGTCTCTCCAGAGCCTAGCGGAAGGAAATGAAGACCTTGCTTGGTTGGATCAGTGGCCTCCAGGATCGGTGGTTTACATCTCCCCTGGCACGAACTTCTACTCGTCACTGGATGAGCTTGTGGCTGTGGTTGGAGCTCTCGAGGCTCTCGAGCAGCCATTCTTGCTGGTTTGTCGGTCGGACGAGGAGAAGCTTCTCCAGGAGCTCGGCCGGGATCGTGACCACCCAAGCTGGCGCACGTCGCCATGGGTTCCTCAAAAGTTTGTGCTCGACCACCCAGCCACAGGTTTGTTTTCCGGTCGTGTTCTTGACTCCGTGAAGTTCTAATTCTTCTTTATAGGAGCTTTCGTTACTCACTGTGGATGGATGTCCATCCTCGAGGGCGTTTCCAGCGGCGTGGCAATGGTTGCTTGGCCGCGCGAGCATGGAGTGGAGCACACGGACCATTACCTCAACAGCAAGTGCATCGTCGAGGACTGGAAGATCGCCATCGCCATGAAGAAGTGCAGCAGCAGTGGCAAAGTCTCGCGCGAATCTGCGAGGGAGAGCTTCGAGGAGCTGCTGCACGGCGAAGGTGGCAAGCGCGCGAGAGAAAACGTCGCCAGGCTCAGTGATCTGGCGAAGACAGCCGCAGCTCCTGATGGTTCTTCGGCCAAGAACCTCAAGACCGCAGCGGACGCCATCAAGAGTGGCAAGCTCGTTGGGTACGTTCCTTATCAATTTCTTTCTCAGTTCAATTCTCTTTTTTCCAGCACCGACACAGCTTTGCTCGCGCGAAAGATGCACATGAATCCCTGGAATCTCTCGGAAGAAAAGCGAGCTCACTTGAAGAGTATCCTTGATTCTGCTCCAGCTCCAGCTCCAGCGTCTGGATTCCTCCGCTAAACAACTGGTGATGTTATGCTTTTCTTCGTTTCCTAGCTTTGGTCCTTAGTTTGCATTCCAGACAAGTCCAGGCGCAACTTGGATCATCCCATAGATTTCGTGTTCTTCCGGAGTTCACGGAACGAGCATTGGAGATGATTTCGTAAAGTTCTTAAAGAAGAGAATATCGTTAAATCTTATTGTCAGGAGCAAATAGGATAGGTTTCTCTAGGGCGAGAATGCTGCTCTCCTCTTCGCGATCGTTCTTTACATTCGGCAATGGCGCGGCATCGCTGTGCCAGCGGCATCAGGTCAAATCCAGCGCCAGGGTAGGCGCGGCGAATCGCGGCGGCAGGGGCGCGGCGATCATCCGATGCTCGCGGAGCAAGACGGGCAGCGCGTGGCGGAGCAGCAGCGACAAGGAGGAGGCGCGCAAGATCCTGGAGAGGAGCAAGAAGGAGCTGGGGCCATACCCTGGCAGGGGCAAGGTCGTGAGGAACAAAGCGCTAGTGCTGGAGCTGGCCAAGGGATTTAGGGGCAAGAAGGTGCACAGGATTGCGCGGGATCGGGTCGCCAAGGCCCTGGAGCACTCGTATCGTGATAGGCGGAGGAAGAAGAGAGATTTCCACAAGCTGTGGATCACGAGAATTGGGGCTGCTGCTCGACTCCACGGGGTAAGAATCGCGTTCTTCCTCAACATTCTTCTTCTTCTTAGTTCTATTTCTTCTCCACATCTTCTCTTCTTCACAGTTTCTTCTTCTTCTTCTTATCAAAGTTCTCTGTGTTCTCCACATTCTTCACGGTTTCTTCTTCTTATCAATGCTCTATTTGTTCTTCACATTCTTCACAGTTTCTTTTTCTTCTTATCGAAGTTCTATTTCTTCTCCACATTCTTCACAGTTCTTCTTCTTCACAAGTTCTCTTTTTTTCCTCCACATTCTCTTCTCGTCACAATTTGGGCCAAGCTGACTGACTCTTTTGTCTTTCTTTCTGGATAGCTTGGGTATAGCGAATTCATGCACGGGCTCAATCGCCAGAAAGTGGAGCTCAATCGCAAGCTACTGGCAAACATGGCGATCTTGGATCCGGATTCTTTCAAGAGCCTGGCAGACTCAGTCTCCTCTCTTCCTCCGCTTAAGGTAAGTCTACTTATCCCTTTCTTTCTTGTCTTTTGACGATCCATCTTGTTGCTCGCAGTCCTCAATGATATGAACTATATTCTTTTGCCTTGCAATGATCTCTAGGGAACGATTGAACCTCAAAGCAAAACGTTTGAGAGAAAATCTCGTGTAAACTTACGAAGAATCAAAATCAGAACTTCCGGAAAATGGACGGCTGAGATTAACCCAACGGCTAGGTCTGTTTAGGGTTCTTGGGAGGCCACACAGCCGATCTATTTCTTCTGGAATTTCGCGTATGTGATCAGCACTGTGAATGCGAGCGCAAACACGGCCGGGAAGACGATGTGCATGAATACCACGAATCGCAGGCCTTCCTCCTGGTATCCATAGTAGTCGCGAATGAAATTCTTCACACTGGATGATTTGCTCTGTCCAGGAACTTCGATCGGCGTCTCCACATCTCCCAGCTGCGAAGCTAGGAGGCCATAGAGCGTCCAAGTTGGGGGGCACAGCCAGCTACACCATCGCCACCACGGTGGGATTTTCTGGAAAGTGGAAAGGATTTAGTCACAGGGATGGAGCTCTAAGAAGATGGAACTAGAGATGGATAGATTGATAGTCACAGGGATGGAACTGGAACTGGAGATGGCAGTCACAGGGATGGAACTCTAAGAAGATGGAACTAGATATTTGGATATTCACAGGGATGGAGCTCCAAGAAGATGGAACTAGAGATGGATAGATGGATAGTCACAGGGATGGAACTCTAAGAAGATGGAACTAGATCGGATAGATAGCTCGCGATCGATCAACTTACAGCCAGAGGGATGATAATGCCGGAGAAGATGTTCCAGGGGACGAGAGCTCCTTGCGTGAGCACGGCCATTTGGAAATTGGACGTCATGGCTACACCAAGCATTCCAAACAGCGTGTAGTTTAGGCAGGAGCCAAAGATGAAGAACACGAAGTAGAAGAACTTTGCTGGTGTCCATTGGAGGCCGACGAGGAGATAGATCAGGAGGCTCTGGGATGCTGCTTGGAGGAGTATATAGGGGACTTCGATGATCACCTGGAGTGGAAGTTTGGTTTTTAGATCCAGGGAATGGTCGGATGGAGTTTTTTTATACCTGTGAGAGAGCAAAGGCGTGTGGAGAATACATTCCAGCGGCTACTTCTCGGTAGAAAACTTCTCGCTCCATGATCACTTGCGGCTGGACGCTGATAGAGTCCGAGATGCCAACGTAGATTGTGGAAGTGTACATGGCCCCGAGCAAGTTGAAGATGTCCTGCTCGGTTTTTCTGCGAGCAAAGTCTGGTAAGTTTGAGCAGAAAAGGTGGTGTGGCTTACAGCTCCTTTCCAGAGTTCCAGAACATGGTTCCGAGTAGAAAGCCAACGACGACTCCATAGAACATCCGGGAGTAGAAGTAGATTGGATTTCGCCAGTAAGAACGGTGCTGCTTCCACAAACAGGTGTAAAACTGCTCCAGGAATGGCTTGGAGTATGTAGTCCGGAAGTGCAAGTCTTGGGATTGTGGAGCTGGGACACTGATCGCTCTTATGAGGTTCTGGTTTCTCCTGGAAGAAAGCTTTAAAAAATCTGGCGAAGGGGGGGAAAGCTTACCCGTAGAGTGGTGAGTTCTCGTAGATCTCGACTAAGTTTATTCCGAGAAGTTCTTCCTTCGACTGAGTGGTAGCTTCCATCACCCAGGTTGCTGGATTCTGGCCGTCCTTTATCTTTGGAATCCCGGGAATGGCCTGGTTTACGGAGGAGACAAAGAAGATTATCAGCGACAAGAAAGAGAACGGAATACTACCTCGAAATACTCTATCAAGTGACAGGATTCTTTGCCAAGAGGTCCGGCATAAATGAGTTGTCCTCCACGTTTCATGAGGAAGAGCTACACCGAAACGAAGAAGGAAGAGGAAGTTGGCGATGGGGTCCTAGATGCATCACAAGCAAGTACCTCGTCGAAAGATTCAAAGATGTCGATGCTCGGTTGATGAATCGTGCAGATAACAGTCCGGCTCGAGTTGACAGTGTTTCGTATGGCTCTCATAACTATGGCCGCCGCTCGAGCATCCAGACCCGAGGTTGGTTCGTCGATAAACAGGATAGATGGATTTGCAACGAGCTCTACAGCAATCGTCAGGCGCTTGCGTTGCTCGGTCGAGAGGCCAGACACGCCGGGAACTCCTACTGAGACATTTCGTATGCTGTCAAGCTCCACAAGCTCCATTACTTCTTCGACGAACCTCTGCTCAAAAGTTTAGATCGTCAACTCTGGAAGGGAATGAAACAAAGCCCATACGGACCAGCACGGTTTCGTGATTCACGTCTTGTGGGAGACGCAACCACGCAGAGAAGACGAGCGACTCATAGACTGTCACATGAGGCGAATGGATGTCAACCTGTTCGCAGTAACCAGAAACTCTTGCGAAGGTTTTGTGGTTTTTCGGGTATCCAGAGACGCTGAGTTCTCCTCGGACGTACCCCACGGTCTTTCTTCCGGCGAGAACATCGAACAGTGTAGTCTTCCCAGCGCCAGTCACGCCGATGAGTGCCGTTAGAACTCCTGGCCGGAGAGCTCCACTTACATTGTGTAGCAGCTGCAATCTCTTGGTATCACTCTTGGGATGGCTTTTCTTATCCTGGAGCATCAGTGTCAGGAATACACTCTAGGAGACAAAACGAAAAACTTTACCAAGTTAACTTCGTAAACGATGTTCCGGAAAGCCAGTGACAACGGCAAGGAAGGTAGGAGAACTTCTCCAACACCTCCATCTTCGATATCCTCAGCTGCAAAAAAGTTGTAAGTGTATTTTTTGTGCTTTCATGTCCTTTGAGCTGAAGTCACCAACTCACCTTTTTTTCTTGCAGTTGCCTCGCTACTGTTGCTGTAAATTGCGGTGCAAGGTTTTCTCAGAGCTGTCACAAGACCTGGTAAGTTTTCTCGCCACCAATAACTTGTCCGTCTATCACTTACGGTTAAGGTATGTAAGTGCTAGAACGTAGAGTGCATTGAACACCAGTGTTGAGATAACCAGTCCTGCGAGTCCAATCCAGTACCATTCTGGATTTGGAAACATTCCTCGGGTCTTTAGCAAAACCTCCCCAACTGTGTGTGAAGTTCCAGTTCCAAATGTTGGCTGCATGTGTTTTCAGACAATTATCCATTGTAGATTGGTGCTTTCGTACCTTGCTCCACCGTTGCGCATAGAACTCATTGACAGCTAAAGCGTTCTGGCCATACATGTAAGGAGATGTCCAGTAGCTCCATAGCCACCATGGTTGGATGTTTTCTGGAGAGTCGTTTCTTAAATACTAACCTTTAGTTTTCTTGCAGGAAGTACCTCTTGATTTCAAATAGCCTCCATTTGCCACCGTTGTTATGAAGAAGAAGAAACCGAACGTACTCGTAATTGTTGGACTTCGAGCGATGGCTCCAATGCACCGAAACATGGCGAACGAAGCTTGGTTCACCAAGAACAGTAGCACAAAGTGCTTGAAAAATCTGTGAGTAGTCTCTTTATCCCGCACTTTAGGACCATAGGAAACTGACTTACCTGGTAAACTCGGGAGCAAACCCAACTCCCCAGTATGTAATGCAGGTCCAGATTGCCACGTCCATGAAACTCATCGGGATCCTGAAAAATATCGTTGGCAATGCCCAAGACCAAGCGGGATAAAACTGCGAATCTCGTTGCTTGTAAAAGGCTTGAAGTCTCGTGATTGTGAGTGTCATCTCAGGTAATCCACGGTACATGATATTCATGATCATGTAGAACAGAACACCCATAAATTTGTTTGCATCTTGGACGGTCTCATGATGCATTGTTGTTCGCAGGAATATGGTCGAGACAATCACCGCTATAATCGAGCCCTTTAAAAAATAATGGTGTTGGTTTCCTTTTTATTAAAAAGGTGAGACTCACCTGAATTACGTTGCTAGTCACATGAACGTAGAGATTACGTTTTATCAGTATGATTTCTCTTGAGCAGCAGGCCAGAAACAGCTTCCAGGAACTCATCTTTGGTTCCTTTTTCCCTGCAGGATAAACTTTCTTCAAGTCCTTGAGCGTGAATTCATCAGCCCGGTATCGTTGAAAAGCAGCAGCAAAATCTTTTCCCGATACAAACCGGTAAGCTTCTTTATCACCGCACCAATAACCTTTTTGATCTTTTCTTGACACTACCTGCATTTCCCAAGACTTTAGAGGAACATGAATGTGTTGTATACGACTGACCTCTTGTAAATAATCTGCTACTCCTTTTCTTGCAGGACATTTGAAGCCTTGGGCCTCAAGAAATTGTAGAACACCTTCTCGAGTTCCATGGTATACTATATGTCCTTCCGCAAGGAGTATAAGATCGTCAAACAGCTCGAAAACCTCTGGGGGTGGTTGCAGCAGCGAGATCAGCATCGTTTTGCTCAAAGCTTTCACGGTTTGCTGCAGGAAACTGATCATTCGGTACGTGGTGGAGCTGTCCAGTCCCGTAGAAATTTCATCCATGAACAAAATTCTTGCGGGACCAGCCAGCACTTCTCCTGTAAGTGATTGTTCATGGTTAATATTAAAGTTTTTGGTTATTGGTGATGCTGACCTGCTGTGAGTCTCCTTTTCTGTCCTCCAGATATTCCTCGCTGAAGAGCATTGCCTACGATTGTATCGGCGCAAGTGTCCATGCCAAGAACCTGATTCCATATCTCGCTCGAGTTTGAGAACCTTGAAAGGGTTATAATGGACAGAACAAACCTGGATCATGTATTCGCACATGATGCTGGGCTTTGCATCGTCACCAGCAGCAGCCTGGTCCACAAGAGATTTCGTTAACATAAACGACTCCTCGAGAAAAGAAATCTCACTCTCATGAAAGCTTCAACGTCTGGATCGGGTATGATTCCTGCTGCCTTTTCTCTTTTCTCGACTTCTTTAAAAATCTCTGTTTGCGTGCAAGCAGAGAGTCGTATCAAGGCCAAGATTCCTCTAGGAAAGTTTTCTTACCTCCTTGGTGACCGGCGCCTTGGCATCGCACTGCGAAGTTCAGTGTTTCTCGAACTGTAAGCTCGGATAGATGCAAGTCCCGCTGGCTGATGTACGCGATCTCGTTCCGGAGGGCGAATTCGTCGCGAGTGCATCCATTGTAAGTCACCTCTCCCTTGCATTGGATCTTACTGGCGAGTGCTAAGAGTAAGCTTGTCTTGCCAGATGCGGGTGGACCAAGCAGCAGCGTCAGCCTTGGAACCAAGCATGAGATGAAACAGTAAAGAAAGAGAGAAGAACTCCTCTCGTTATCAACCTGGAAGGTCTGACAACACCATCGACGCTGTGTAGGATGTTAATCGATTGCTTGTTCGATGGCAGGACATGGAGCAAGCTCAGGAAGCTCTAGAAAGCTTGTCAAAAACAGGCCATCAACTTGAAGAAGAGACCAACCTGGACGGTGTTGACGAAAGAGTTTGCAATGCTGGAGATCGCTCGGCTGCTCCTGGTGTAAACATCGACGCTGAGCTCCAAGCCATGGAACCTCACCTCAACCTCTGGGAGCTCAACTCCGACGCTGTGGTAGAAAACAAGGTATCGTCAGCTTTTTTCGATCGTTTTCCTTCATTTTTTTACTCGTTCTTACTTGTCTAGCCTCGATCGAAGCTTGAGGAGGAATCCCTCGTGATCGTCGCCCTTGCTGCTACTAAGGTTCGTGGCCTCCATCTTCCTTGCTCGCTCCCTGGAGGATGGATTTACGTATATATATATTTAAAATGCTCGTGGCATCTCGCGGTGGGGCAGCAACGGGGTAATGCGATTCCATTTTTTGCTATTTGGTCAATTTACAGGGTGAGTGGGAGAAGAATCATGGATGCTCTCAGTGGAATCTACGTGATTGTTGTGTTTTTCCAAGACAGATCGATAAGGACGATTTTGTTTTCTGTCCTCCAGAAAGCATGTGTGTATATTTGATACAGTAGAGAGCTTAATCTCTATCCTAAGCAGAATTAATTACCAGAGTTCGCTGCCAACTAACTTCTCGGGAATTCTTTGAAAAGTTGGTGCACAAAACACTGCATGTCATATACTTTGCTTGGTGCTATAAGAGAAAGCTCTGCTCTGAAGTGGTAACAAAACATCTCAAGGGTTCTCTAGCTTATTAGATAAATTATAGAAGTATAGCTCTAATGGCTCAAGCCAAGGCTCTACTCTTCTTTTACTCTTTCATTGCCCTTGCTGCAAGCATTGCAGTGGCAACCAATACCACTGGATGCTTCCCAGGTAGGACTTACAAGAAATATTTCTCCACATGATAGCTATTTAAATTCCAAACTATCACAGGGGATGCAACTGTGCAGATGTACACTGGGGAATTTAAGTTCATGAGGGAGCTCAGTGTTGGAGACAAGGTGAATTGACCTCATTGCAGCTTCTAGAAATTGGTGAGGTGTGTTTTTCAGGTTGCAGTGGGCAAGAATCTTTTCTCTGATGTGTACGCATTCGGCCACAAGGATGCCGATGCCATTTCGGAGTTTGTGCAAGTGCACAGTGGCGCAAACATGTTGGAACTCACTGCAGGCCACTTTGTTCCTGTTGATGTCAATGGGAAGCTCGTGTACAAGAGAGCTGAGGATCTCAAGGTTGGAGATTCTCTGTGGGAATCATCTCAAGTCACGGGTACAAATTTCATGATATCATTTTACTTTTTTGACACTTGTTTACATTCCACAGAAATCTCAAAGGTTGAGAAGCTGGGTCTCTACAACCCACTCACTCTGTCCGGCAACATCATGGTTAACAACGTTCTAGCTTCAGCTCACAGCGAGTGGTTCCTGGACTCCATCTTTGATGCCGTCGGCGCAACCGAGTACCTCCCATACGCATACCAGGCCGTGCTTGCTCCAGTTCGTGCCATCTACAACATCGTGGGCAAGGAGATCTATGCAAAGGGCTATGGCGCCATCGATTCCATCGCCAACGTTGCTGAGTTTGGAACCAAGTATGGAGGAAGCATTGCTCTCACGGTTGGAATCGCCGGCGCCGGACTTGTGCTGGCCTCCAAGGCCTAAACATCCCAAAAGTAAATAAGTCAACTTAAAGCCGTAAAGAATGTATATATTTCAGAATTTAATTTGAAATTAAAGCAAAAACATAAAAATTGCTGGGGCATTCCGAGAATTGAACTCGGGACCTCTCGCACCCTAAGCGAGAATCATACCACTAGACCAAATGCCCAACTTGTTACCTCCATCTAGATCCCTGGAACAAGAACTGGTGAGCTTCCCGCTCGCAGGGCTTCGTTTGCCTCCTCCAATCTTAACTCCACTGTCTCCGTTTTGATCTCCATGCTCGAAACCACTCGCAAGAACTCGATGGCATCCAAGCGCATGAGATTCGCGACCGACAGCACTCTCCTCTCGCCCCAGATCGCCGCGTATGGAATCGAGGGGACTGGAGTCATGTAAATCTCGCCGCAAACCACCACCCCGCCCTTGCGAATGGCTGCCAGAGCGAGCGGTACCCCACCGAAGCAAAGATGATGGCGGCGTCCAAGAGTTGTGGAGGCGACGCGGTGGAATCGCCCGACCAGGTGGCTCCAACCTTTCGAGCAAAAGCTTGCGCCTCTACGTCGCCCGGTCGAGTGAAACCATACACTTCATGGCCTTCGTGTCTCAACACCTGGAAGATCCAAAGCTTTTGTACGATTCGAGAGCGGTGGAAGAGCTCGGTGTACCTGAGCAGCAATGTGAGCAGCAGCTCCAAATCCATAGATTCCAAACTTGCGGGGTTTGGGCATTCCAGGCGTGATCCCAGCCATCCTGAGCGATCGATAGCCGATGAGACCGGCGCAAAGGAGTGGAGAGGCTTTCACGTCCGGGTAATTCTCCGGAAGGGAGAAGCAGTAGGCACTGTTCGCAACAGCGTACTCGGTATAGCCACCATCGATCGTATAGCCTGCAAGAAAGAATCTTTTTCCATGCAAAGAAGAACTGGAAACGAAGAATAAAGAACTTGAAAGCTTTCTCACCTGTGAAGCCTGGCTCGTCACACAAATTCTCAGCTCCATCCACACAGTAGCTGCAGCTCCCGCAAGTTCTTCCCAGCCAAGGAATTCCCACTCTAGCTCCAATTGAAAACTGCAAGCGATCCACGCCTCGCCCGATCTTATCCACCAGTCCCACGATTTCATGACCAGGGATTATCGGAAGATTGGGCTCCTTGAGCTCGCCGTCGACCTGCGCGGCGATTCTTGGAAGGAAATCAAAGCCTGGCGCATACCAATGAAGATCCGTGCGGCACACAGCGCACGCCGAGGCCTTGACGCGGACCTGGCCGTCGCGAGGCTCTGGAATCGGGAGCTTCGTGAGCTTGAGAGCGCTTCCAGGAGCTTCAAACACCATAGCTCGCATCATAGTGGGAAAATATTTAGGGTTCGTTAGAATTCACCCAGTTAAAAGAAGAATATTCAAATTAGATCATCCTCTCCATGTGGCAATGATTTACATGGGTAAGCAGCTGGTCTTCGTGGGGATGTTTGCTGCTCAGAGGACACCCTCAATTGCAATCTATAACTGTCTCCTTCTTGAGACCAAAGGAGTAGATTTCTCAAGGGTTTTGAGTGCAAGAGGGGTGCACACAATTGTGGAGTTTGCTGCCAAGAAAGCCCATCTGTGAAGGCGTAGACAAAAATAAAATTGCTTTGCTGAATTGCTTGAAAATGTGGTGCTGGTGAGCCTCAAAGCACCCTGTAGAAATCAGTGTGTGAAGCTACTTTGAAACGATCGAGAGCTGCCAGAAAAGCCCATTTTGGGTTTTAGGGGAATCTCCAACAAACTTCCAGATGGATGCTTTGAATATATTCTAAACTATTAATTAACTTGGGATAGAAAAAGCCCAAAAGCGCATCAAGCACTGATATGGTACTCGTATACCACCCCCGCTCGAAAACCACACGAGGCGTGGTCTTTCTCTTGCAGGTTTTAGCACAGCTCCAAAGGCAAGTCAAGAAGGCGGTAGCGCTAATCTCGATGATAATCCTCCTCCTCCTGGTAATCGCGGAGCTCGAGCACCGAAATATTTCGGATCACCACGTCCATATTGGTTTTGGATATGTTCAAGTAAAATGGATCCGTGGCGCAATGGTAGCGCGTCTGACTCCAGATCAGAAGGTTGCGTGAATGAATCGCCTCTCCGGCGCCTGCGGCTCTTCAATCCACGAGAATGTGCTCGAGGAGCTCCTCGCAGCTTGCCCGCTGCTTGAGGATCTGCGTCCATATTCTTGAGCATCTGTCCAGGCTCACGGTGTCAAGTGGCAGCCTCTTGTTGGGGAGGATATTGGGGATATGGCAGGGATCCATTTTCGAAATTTTCCTAGACACCCAGTTGACTACCCTCGAGGTTGGCAACTTGTCACAGGACATCTGCCTCAGTTTCAAATCGGAGAGCCTGGAAGTCCTGAAGATCAACACCTGCTTTAAGCTCAACAGGAAATGTGACATGCTCTGGAGCTTGGAAATTTCTGGATCCTGGGAGCTCGATAAATTGGTGAGCCTCTTCAAGCTCACGCCCACAATTACAGACCTTCACCTCCACCATCTGGACAGCATTTCCCTTCTTCTGGAGCCCTTGTTAACTTGCGAATCATCGATTTCCACTCCGGCTTGTAAGAGGTGTGTGAAACACTTGGCTCGTTGTGGTTTCCTATTTCTTAGACACCCTCTAATCTTCTTCTTCTTGTAGGCGCTCCTAGGCCACAGCAATCCACGTAACTTGGACGCACTTGATTTCCACCTGTGGTTAACAGTTCGGGAGTCCTTTGGTGGGAACTCCACTGACGATGATAGTTCTTTCTTGAGGGACTTGTTCAGATGCCAGGGAGCCTGTAAACCTCACACGGACTGTAGGGTTTTGAATTAAAAAGAGAATATTCTTTACATTTAAACGTAAAGTAAAATGGATCCGTGGCGCAATGGTAGCGCGTCTGACTCCAGATCAGAAGGTTGCGTGTTCGAATCACGCTGGGTTCATTAGAAATTTTATCTATGCGTATTAGGGTTTTTGGAATCTGGAGAGAATGGGGACGCTCGACAGGCTGCTCCAGGAGGAAATCCAGGGCGAGGCGCGGCTCCTCGATGATCCCGTACAGGACGGCGACGAGGAGAGCGCGCAGGTCGGGAGGATCATTTACAAGGCTTCATTCGAGGAGATGGAGGACCGATTTGTGAACTACGACTCTGTCCAATGGTGCTTGATCTCGCTGCTGCTAGTTCTTGCTTGGGGAGCGGGAATTCTTATGCTTCTCTACTTGCCCGTGAGGAGATCCATCATGAGGAGCGATTTTAGATCACGAAAGCTCTATGTGACCGACAATGCGATTGTCTACAAGGTATTATTTCTTACGACTCATAAGCTTGAATTTCATTTGCTTGTTTCTAAGGTCTCGAGACCAGCTTGGTTTCCATGTTTTGGAGTGAATCGAACGGAAAAATGCCTGATGCTACCTCTCGTGACTGACGTTGTCATCGAGCAAGGTTTCGTTTTTCTTCTTTATTTTCATTCTAGGATAGAGCTTCCGGCTTGTTGGATTTTTCAAACCTTTCAAACTAAGTTCTCGGTGCGTGGTTTAGACAGTGTGATTCCCGTTCACTTTCTTCGCAGGATGCATGCAATCGGCTTTCAACCTTTCATCTCTAAGGATCGAAATTGCCGGGAGATCCAAGCCTTCTCCGAGCGACGACGTGCAGATTCAAGGACTGGCAAATCCTACGCTCTTCCGAAAAGTAAGGACTATCTTCTAGGAAAAAACGAAGAAGCAAAACCAAACATTCTTTCAGGTTGTGCTGATGGTTGCTTCCAGTTTGAAGCCTCTGCCTCGTCTCAATGATCACGACGTGGAAGACCTTCCTGTCCAGCCTTCCTTGAGCAAATCGAGTGCTTGGACTTGGGGCCAAGGCACTGGATTGTCTTCCTGGCAGGTTAGTATACTTGCGTATAAAAAATTCATGCATACTCTTTTTCCTTCTTTTTCTGTAGATGGGCTATTTGCCTCTCAAAGAAGAAGCTGGCTATAGCTACAGTGACAACAGCAGCGAGAAGCTCTTCGAGAAGCTTGAGGACATAAGAAACTCTCTCAAGGTTAATTTGCATGCAAGTTTTCTTCTGATATCACATGTTCTTGTGCTATCTTTTTCATGTTTTCCAGAGAATAGAAGTTCTCGTTGAAGCTCAACAGCAATCACCAAAGCGTTGAACGAAACGTACGAGGATTTGGAATCCATGTTATGTGTATAGAACAAATTGGATCCGTGGCGCAATGTTATGTTCATGTAAGTAAATGAAAAGTTAAAACTGATTTCTTCTCACCGACCGATTTGTCTATTTGTTCAATATGATAGAGCATATTTTCAATGATACGTCCTGTTTGAAATTTCGTGTCTATCATATGTTCAATGTGATAGAGCATATTTTCAATGATACTGTCTGTTTGAAATTTCGGGTCTTTCATATGCTTTTTTTGCTACTATTTAACACCTGTTTTACAGTGTTATTGCAGACTTCAGTTTTATGTTGTGATCTTTCGTTCTAAATGGCTCAAGCCAGCGCTGTCCTCTTCCTTTTCTCTTTCATTGCGTAGGACTTTCAAGAAATATTTCTCCATCTAACTTCCAAACTATCACAGGAGATGCAACTGTTCAGATGTATACAGGGGAATTTAAGTTGCTCAGTGTTGGAGACAAAGTAAATATTTGCTAGACTTTGGACTTTAATAAATATGCACAAAATTGTGCAGGTTGCAGTGGGCAACAATGCTTTCTCCGATGTGTATGCATTCGGCCACAAGGATGCCGACGCCATTTCGGAGTTTTTCCAAGTGCACAGCGCTTCAAACATGCTGGAGCTCACTGCTGGCCACTTTGTTCCTGTTGACATCAAGGGAAACCTCGTGTACAAGAGAGCTGAGGATCTCAAGGTCGGAGACTCTCTCTGGGAATCATCCCAAATCACTGGTAAGGAAAGAAAGAACTTTCATTTCTATTAACAATTTGATACTTCCAGAAATCTCCAAGGTTGAGAAGCTCGGTCTCTACAACCCACTCACTCTCTCCGGCAACATTATGGTTAACAACGTTCTAGCATCGGCTCACAGCGAGTGGTTCTTGGATTCCATCTTTGATGCCGTCGGTGCAACCGAGTACCTGCCATATGCATACCAGGCGGTGCTTGCTCCAGTTCGCGCCATCTACAACATCGTCGGCAAGGAAATCTATGCAAAGGGCTATGGCGCCATTGATTCCTGCGTCAACGTTGCTGAGTTTGGAACGAAGTACGCAGGAAGCGTTTCTGCAATTGCCGGACTTGTGCTGGCCTCGAAGGCGTAGACAAAGCAGACGTAAATAATCGAAGTAAATGTGAGTGAATTTCGTTGCTGTTAAGCAAAGCTGTGTAAGCTCTCTATCCGGTAGCTTGGGTTCGAAGCCAGGGATGACTAGCATCCAGTGTGCGCTAATTTTCCCCAAGCTGCTGCTAACATATTGATATTCTTTTTCGTAGCTCGTCCTGGGCTGGAGACGTACGGAGCAGCATTTGGATGTGTGGAAGCGATGAGATAGATTTAAGAGCAAAAGAGTTGTCATGCCTGGAAGCGGGATGAGAGAAGCCATCAAACTCAAGCATGCACACCCTTGAGCCTCTCTTTTGTTTGGGTGGCAAAAAAGTGGCCATGAGGAATGTAAGTTATGACTAACTCCTTCGAAAATGCCACGGCAACGAGATGGCAATATCCACAGAGCCGTAGGAGCCAAAGAGAGCGATGTAAGCCAGTCTGGATCAAGAACATGGACTGGTGTTTGTAGCTAACAGAATACCCAGGTCCAAAGAGGAAAGATGTTCCAAAAGTGACAGTGCATCCTGGTTGCAAAGAGAACTTGCAACAGGCTTGTCCTGTTGTGGTGATGTTTGTCGCTGCGTGTTGAGAAGAATGTCACGGCCTTGTGTCCCAAAGATGGTGTGAAGTGAAACCTGAAAAAGTTATGAAAGTGATCAGGGTATCAGAATGGGCAACGCCCTTGGAAGTGACTGAATGGTGAAAGTATGGAATGAAAATTTTAGAACCTTGAGAAAAACTTGGAGAAAGCATGAGTTTCAGGGACGAGCAAGATTAATGCAACCTCAAGACTGGAAACCCCAACTCAAATGAAGCCACGTGATCTTAAAAAGAAGAAGAAAAGTGAAAGAACAAAGCAGAAAAGAAAATTCACTAAAGCCGACTGGATTTTGCTGCTCACTTAGAAGAGAGTGGTTGAACAAGGGTTGCTCAGTCCCAGTAGGCTGAGAAATCCAGTGAGCTGGAGACTTGTCCAGCCTCTTTCTCGATTCTAGCACCACTTGAGGAGTCACAGGAGACACCCACAGAGGACCAGACAGTGGTCACGAAGAGTTTGGATGCATTGCATGCAAGTTTTGACATGGATGATCATGAGGCTAGAGTTTGTGATACACTTGTTGTGGAGGGCAGTTTTTGAGGAGGCTGATGAGTTCATTTATGCAGATGCAAAGGAATTGATGTTGGTTGTTGGTTCTTCAGTTATAGGCATTTACCACAGCTGTGGGGTTCTTCAGCTATAAGTATCTACTATAGCCCGTGGGGGATTTGACAATACAATGTCAATAGCCGTTGACAAGAATATTTTAAGAATATTCTAGCACACTAAGAAAATATTTTGTTAAGATTTTAGAAAATTAATAATTTTAAAAATATTTAGATTTGTGTAAACTATCAGTATCTAGTAGCAATACTTGCTATTTAATAGAGGTTTTGCCTTATCAACTCATTTAAAGAAGAAATTATTATTTTAATATTTAATAATTAGTATTTATACTAATTATTTAAGCAAGCATCCTCTAATTTATAATGTATATTTATATTTAATTTATTATTATTACATAAAATCCCTATTATAAGAAATGTCATATGTTATTTTAGATGTAATTTATAAATAAAAATTATTTATCTTATATTAAATTTGAATACAATACTAATATCTAATTCTTTTTCAATGTCATGAACACCTTATGTTAAGATATTGCAAGGTGATGAATCTGAAGTTTAACATTTGGATCCATCCCAAGAAGCATACAATATACAAAATATATATTAAAAGTTTGATATTGAAAAAAGTATGCAGAAGTGCAATTTAGAATTGGTTGATTATGATGTTGTAAACCTTCATTTAAAATATCAATTCTATAATTGAGAACTATATTCTCGTGATGACAATATTGCTACTTGATGTTGACACTTTTAGCTTCCACCTTCAACTGTAATGCTTTTGAGTATATTGCCTTTGTTTCCTTTGATCAAGTATTTATAATTTTCATACATTTTTTATTTTTTATTTTTTATTTTTGGATCTTTTTGAGAATAGTGTACTATAAAGTGTTTTCTTCAAATTTAAAGCCTGCTTCAACTAAAGTCTAAAGTTCCATATTTGTCAAATTTACCTTTTTTTCAATTGGCTATGTATGTTTTGGTTTTTGGATAATTTGTGTTACAAGAGACCATGTATGCAGAACTTTTATTAGACAAAACCATATAAACTGATCATAGAGGATGACTATATTATTGTTATCCCCAAAAAATAAAATGTTGGAGTGCATAGGGTTCCTATGGTAATCTATTTACCATATAATTTTCCTCCAATCTAGACAAGATACTTGACTGTAGATCCTACTCCAGGTCGACATATAACCCACTCAATCTTATGAAACTTTTATTCTTTAACTTGGAAGCACTTAAGCTCTTGGTTGCTTAGAAGCACTAGTCCTCTTTGTTCTCTAGTACCATACTCATATTTGGGATGGTGCAAATCTATTAGTTGCATCGATTCACTTACTTGTCATTTCCTTCTGATAGTTTCAAAGATTCAAAGGTTTTATTGTAGATCAAATTCCTATGAGACACAAATTCCTAAACCCCAAAGTGGAGCTAAAAGGGTGCCACATGGTAGTGGTTGAGATAGAAGCTAAACGAGTGTAACACGTTTGGACTAAAAAACTACGACTCGAAAAGTCGAGAGCGGGAGTGGAACTCCCAAGGAAGTGTTTGAGGAATGAGTACGAAGTAAGCAATAAATGAGTTTCTCAAAAAGGGATACAAAAGGACCAACACATGACACGTGGAAGAGTCCAAGATGGACCCGAGATGGAGTCCGAAATGGATCTGAGATGGAGTCTGAGATGGACCTGAGATGGAGTCCGAGATGGAACCAAGACCGAGACCGAGACCGAGTTCGAGTTCGAAATCGAGACCAAGACTAAGTTCGAGTCTGAGTTCAAATACTAATACAGGTTGTTGGGTGAAAGCACAAAGTGATCGTCCCCCAAGGGAGCTGCAGGGGGTTCCAAAAGCATAGTAGGGAGAGTGTGGGGGTTAGACCCTAGTGGAGCTAGTTTGGCCTAGGAAGGCTATACCCAGGTGTTGGGTGATGAGATAACCACTGGGAAGTCCAAGACTAAAGTGAATACGAACTGACAAAGTGGGGTAGCTTAGTAAAGTTTTCAAGAGCTAGCTCTAGTTCCCCTGGGAGATCAAATGGTTAATACTCCCAGTCCAAACATGGGTGGCATTACCTACTTGGATACCTAGTGTGGCTCAATGGAACCTCGCTCTAGCCTTATGACTAAAGCACCCAAAGGTAGAAGGTGGGGAGAGTACCCATGAGGCCTATGTAGGGCCACAGTCTTCCAAAATGTTGTCCTAGAGTCTCAGATGGTGGAAAAAAAGAGGAGCAGTCCTCTGGTGTAGTGACTAAAGATGTGGTCACATGGTGAGGAAGTCCCAAAGAACAAGGGGATTTAGTGGTTGAGCCTGTGAGCCTTGATCCAGTGGCAGTGTTGGCAAACACAACCATGGGCAAAGAGGGACTTGGTGGGGACCGAAAAAGAGAGATTGGGGAAGGTTATTCCCTATGTCTGTAGGCATCTTAAGGATGCTAAAGAGTGGATCTAGGATGACCACTCATGGACGGATGGCCTGGTCTTTGAGAGATGGGACTGTGATGCAAGTGGTGTTGGACCACTAGTATAGTAAAGGTGAATAAGCATGGCCTTAGCCTAACAGGCTGATATGTTAGTGGTACCTTTGGGTGCTAGTCATGGGATTAGGCACATAAAGCACTTGGACCAAATGCAAAAGTTGAATGGTAGGGATGCCATTCTTGGGGCTAGCAAGCCCGAAGTCCAGATAAGACTTATGGAGGTTGTGGGATAGGATAGAAATCACCAAGTCATTCCAACAAGCTTCAAATAGAGATACATGTTTAGAGTTGCTTATTTTTGCTAGCCACATCACATGGTAATTCTTAATAAGATTTATTGTTAGAATTTGGGTAGCAACTATTTCAAAACTCATCTATAATAGAAAGAAAATTAACAAAAAAGATCAATGCTAATACTTGCTCACTTGATAAATAACTAAAGTCCCCCAATATGGAAAATGAATAAACCATCATACCAACCAAGTCTATAGTTCTAGAATTGCTTTCTCATAAGCATTACCTTTAGCCCACCATAAGCTTATAAACTTATATTGCTTTTATGCATCTTCTAAAGTGTTTACAATCTCTAGTACAACTACTTATGCTCATTTATAGTATATATGGTTTTAACCCTTTATCCTATGATGATTTACCATATGATAACTATGAAGCGGAGCCTAAACCTTTCATGTGCCATGTATTATATACCACATGTCCAAAGGACAGTAGTGCAACGAGTTTCAAGGCTTTGGGCCACTAAATGAAAGAATGGAGCCAAACTTCTAAGCATGGAGCCAAGGAACGAAGGCACTAGAGCACGGAATGACTCCCAAGTGTACAACCCAAGGAGCGAAGGGACAGGAGCATGGAGTGATTTAGAACAGTCTTAGAGCATTTAGCATCCCAATGCTAGAACCAGTACATATAACGAAGTCAAACAGAGTTTGATGCTATTTTAGCATACCAGTTGCCTAATGTAAAGATATGGGTACTCCATCAACTAGCATAATATGGAACTTAGGCTTAGACCCAAACGGATGCAGAACAAAGACAAGTATGCAAGCGAGAGTTAAACTATGCCTCAGGTTGGTCAGCCATGCCCGACATACCCACTATCCTCTACTATACATTTAAAACCCCCCACAGCCTACCCCTCCCTGGTGAGGAACACACGCTTTGAGCTTTCACCTTTAGCTACCCTTAATATTAGGAGTTAGTTTCTGGGATAAGTTTAAAACTTATTAAATATGGAATGTCCCTAGATTGCGAATTTGGATACAGAATGAACACTATTGTGTTTAGAACAATCTCTACATTCTGGAGATATGCCAAATTAGCAAATCTAGACACTTTCCATAAATAGCATTTGGGACTAGAATAAGACTAACACAAAGGGCATAATAGTGAAGGTGTTTGGTAGACATGGTAAATTATCATCCAGCAATATTGAGGGATTAATCTCAATATGCAAAAGTTCTTGTCATTAGCCAATGTAAAACATAACGAGACGGGAACTCCTTACCCGGCTAAGTATGTTTAATTAATAGTATATAGGAATTCCGTCCTTATGCTTGTCCGGTCTAAATACACTCGAAATACCTAGTTAACTCCACTAGCATAAGAAGGATTGATAAAGGGTCTAGCAATATCGACCTTCTGCCGTCATAGTAGTAAGGAAAGAATATTTGAAAGGATTAGCTAATAAGTAACTTTCGATAGTCGAAGTCACATTCACAACATCATCACAATATTTAACTTAAATGCATTTCTCCATATGTCTATATACACTTTGCTCCCAATGGAAAAGGCAACTCCTCTCTTGGCCGACTAAAACTTGTTTGGCTAATAGCTCACTAATTTATTTGCGCTTCATCATTCATGAAACCATAAAACATTAGTGGTGTTGAAGATCTTGTTTCAACTTGGTATATTTTCTTCAACAATGTCCAAAAAAGAACTTGAGTTGGTGTGTCTTTTCCTTTCATCTCATAAACAGCTATCATCATCAAAGATTGTGCTTTTTTATAAAATACATTATTAATATAAGAGTTGAATAAATATATATTTATTTTGAATCATACATAATGACAATTATTGTAGACCATTCGGGAATTTTGTGTTTATGATCAAAGCACACCCAAGAGTATTGCAAATCCATATTTAGCTGCATTTACTTAACGAGATCAACTCCAAGTCCAATACCATCCACTGATATTTTGTAAACATGATATTATTTTTCAACTTCAACTTATAGACTTTAGTACCTCAAAAATAGATCCACTATCTATATGTCTTTTTATATCTACATTTTTTATTGAGTCTGCCATTAAAGAGCTTGCTATTGCCAAGGATGCATATGGCTCTATAAACAACTAAAGAGAATGATTTATAAAGTTTAAATATAGAGGTAAAGTGCTAATGAATAAGAGTGCACCTTTTTTTTGAATCGGTTAAAGGCTTTAGTGTGAGACACAAATCCCTAAGCCCCAAAGTGGAGCCAAAAGGGTGCCACGTGGTAGTGGCTGAAGGGAAAGCCAAATGAGCGTAACACGTTTGGACTAAAAGCTTTAACTCAAAAGGTCGAGAGTAGGAGTGGAACTCCCAACAAAAGGCTCGAGGAACGAGCACAAAGCGAGCAATAAGTGAGTCTCTAAAAAAGGGACACAAGAGGACCATTACATGACATATGAAAGTGTCCAAGATGGAGTCCGAGATGGACCCGAGAAAGAGTTCAAGATGGACCCGAGATGAACCCGAGATGGAGTCCGAGATGGACCCGAGATAGAGTCCGAAATAGAGTCCGAGATGGAGTTTGAGATGGACCCAAGATGGAGTCTGAGATGGAGTCTGAGATAGACCCGAGATGGAGTCCAAGATGGAGTCTGAAATGGACCCGAGGTGGAGTCTGAGATGGAGCCAAGATGGAGCCGAGATGCAGCCTGAGATAGAGACTGAGATGGAACCGGGACTGAGACTGAGACCGAGACCAAGACTGAGACCGAGTCCGAGTCCGAGTCCGAGACCAAGACCGAGTCCAAATCCGAGTCCAAGACCGAGACTAAGACCAAGTTCAAGTCCGAGTCCCGAGTCCTCAGTCCGAGTCCGAGTCCGAATACTAATACAGACAGTTGGGTGAAAGCCCAAAGCAATCGTCCCCCAAGCAGGGGGGAGGGGGCGCTGTAGGGGGTTCCAAAAGTATGTAGGGGTTGGAGCCCAGTGGAGCCAATTTAACTAGGAAAGGCCAGTTTGGCCCAGGAAGGCTGTACTCAGGTGTTGAGTGATGAGTTGGGAAGTCCAAGACTAGAGTGAATATAGACCGACAAGCGGGGTAGCTTGGTGAAGTGTTCAAGAGCCGGCTCTAGTTCCCCCGGGAGATCAAATGGTCAATGTTCCCAATCCAATTGTGGGAGGCACTACCTACTTGGATACCTGGTGTGGTTTAATGGAACCTCGCTCTAAACCCATGGCTAGAGCACCCAAAGGCAGAAGGCGGGGAGAGTACCCATGAGGCTCGCGTAGGGCCACAGTGTTCCAAAATGTTATCCTAGAGTCCCGAATGGTGGAAAGGAAGAGGAATAGTCCTCTGGTGTAGTGACCAAGGATGTGGTCACATGACAAGGAAGTCTTAGAGAACAAAGGGACTTAGTGGTCGGACCTCTGGGCCTTGGTCCAATGATAGTGTTAGCAAACACGGCCATGGACAGAAAAGGACTTGGTGAGGATTGGAAAAAACATGTTGGGGAAAACTATTTCCTATATCTACGGGCATCCTAAAGATGTGTAAGCTCCTGAGTTTGGACTTCCCGAGAGGTCACCCAGCCCAGTACTATTCAAACCCAAGGACGCTTAACCCCAAATATCCCAAGACCCTTAACCGATTGGAAAAGGGGGTGCACTCTTATTCATGGGCCCTTTCCCTCTATATTTGAACCCCTATGGATCGTCTCTCGAGTCGTTCCCTTTGGTTGCTTATAAGATGCTAAGGAGTGGATCTGGGAGGATCACTTATGGACAAATGGCCTAGTCTTTGAGAGACAGAACTGCGAGGCAAGTGGTGTTGGACCACCAGTGTGACAAGGTGAATGGGCATAGCCTTAGTGTAATAGGTTGATATGTCGATGGTACCTTGGGGTGTCGGTCATGGGATTGGACACATGGAGCACTTAGACCAAGTGCAAAGGTTGAGTGGCATGAATGCCATTCTCAGGGCTAGCAAGCCCCAAGTCTTGAATTGGACTTATGGAGGTTGTGAATGAAACTCCTCCAAATGGTCGGAGGTGTGGTTAAGTGACTAAAGTAAAATGGAAAAATTAGTCACCTATTTGGGGCTAAACGTCCTTGGGTTTGAATAATACTAGGTTGAGTAACCTCCCAAAAAATCCAAATTCAAAAACTTACATTTGGTATTAAAGCAGATTTTAGGTTTGACTCTGCTGATTGGCTAGGGGAATTACACTATATGTTGATTAACACCTAACAAGTCCAATTTTCTCTAGTTGGGCTTGACCCGAGGGGTAAGGTGTCAAAAGAGCAGGGCTCTCAAGAGAGTTTTTGGCTCTTAGCTTTCATTCACGAGAGTGTGAACTTGCAAAGAAATGTAATGATAAATAACCGAAGAGAACAACTTGATAGATAATTTATAAAGTTTAAATATGAAGGAAAAAGACGCATGAACAAGAGTGCACTCCTTTTTCCAATCAGTTAAATATATTTGGATATTTAGGGTTAAATGTCCTTAAGTTTGAATAGTGAAGTCCAACTTCTCATTTGCTATTGAAGAAAAAACCACTTTATTCCAAATTGCTACATCATTTGAACTTATTACAAACTCCTCTTGCTTCTATAATCAAATTTGGTACAAAATACACCTAAAAAACCTCTATCACTATAACCCAAAGTGATTTTATACTTTGAGCCCTTTATAACATTATAACCTGATCAAATTGAAGCCCAAAGAAAGCATATAAAGATCTTTTCTCTATTAGTGACTCCATTTCTAATAACAACTCTCTCTTAGTGAATTCTTATAGTTGTAACTTTTTTTTTTTTTCCAAAGCTTTAAAGGTTTTTAGGGCTGATATCAACATTAAAATTGGGTTGGGTTATTAGCAACTAAGGTTTCTAAACGAGAGATGGGTTGAGGATGGCAAAAAGTAGCAAACACAAAAGTAAAAAACACTCACTTCTCACTATTGCAAGAATTGCCATAACACCACCCGAGCTCATCAAGCTTGCCCAGCTCGGGCCACCATGGCCACTGCACAATGGGGAGTGTGGCATCGTAGCTCCAAAAACTCTTCCCCAAGGCTTCTACATATCATGCTTGTACCTTTGGCAGCTCCTTTGGGACTGCCTATGGGCAGGATCAATGCTAGAGTTTGACAAAGCCCTAGCCAATGCTTCCACATTTCCACATTTTTTTGGTTGAGCTATCAGGCTGGTGATACGTGGGCCAGTCACAACAAGTTTGATCATACACCCTCCCTGGGTGGTATAAGCCTTAATACATATCAGGACTTACGGTGACATCACTGGGTAGTTCCTCTTTGAGCTTTTGACTTGCTCTTGAGCATTTCAGTTTGCTCACAACCTAGTGAAGAAAGGCCAGAATTAAAGGCTTTTTTGTTAGTGGGTCACTAGTTTTTTTGCCAAGATCATTTTCCAATCTACACATTGATTAATATAACACAGATCTATTGACATGTCTGGTTGACGTGCACAGTAAGTTAATATGGCTTGCTTGCTGAGACCTCAGTGTAGTAAGACACTTGGTGGCTGTTTCCATGTTCCAAGTCTTGCACAAATCTTAAGAACTGGAATGTAGC